TTTGCTGGAGCGCGTTAGGATCCCGTCTTGTCTTTTCGCAATGCCCACACGAACTTTCGTTCACACCCAAAGTAGCTACCATGCAAAACCGGGGGATCCATGTGTCTGCAGTTCTGGACGTTTTTCTCTGTTCACTCTGCTGTTTCGCTAAACATGGACCCCCAGGCAACCTCTTGTACTTTACAGCGGGGGACTCTGCAATCTGTACCAAGTCGCTCCAACAGTGTTTTTCGCTGTGCCTCAAGTTGTGAACTTTTTAAACAAGACTAGGGCAAACAAACATGTCCTAGTCGTTCTCAGGCAAACCCGTTCATTGAGGCCCACATTGGCGTCGCAATCCTGGGTTCTTTTCAAACGCACCTTCTCGAGGTAGTCAGTGATCCTTGAATTCGGGGGACAGGAAGGCACTAATTCGCACCCAAGCCAACCGTGTAAACCCATAGGGGAACCAAGCATGTTTTCCTTCTACCCTTTGTAACTCAACCTGGAGTGGGGGGTGGACGCGCAAGCTTGCAGTACTTGCGGTCGGAGCCTTACTTATTTGTTGTTTGTTTACACTGGGTAACCGCGCCCCCTTGCCTACGAAAAGCTTCCGGGGGTATTTTTCATTTCCTTGTATAGCCGAGCCCCCTGTGGGAACACCCATCGGGGGAACAATGCGCACCCATGAACCGCAGGGGCGCGTTCGCGCGCAGGGTGTGGGGCTGGACCGCCCTGCACCTCTTGCCTGGTAGAGGGAGAGAGAGAGAGAGAGAGAGAGAGAGAGAGAGACCACAGGGAGAGGGGGAGGACCCCAAGCCAGCCGGGGCTCGCTCCTAGACCCCTTCGGCAAGAAAGAAAGGAAAAGAAACAAAACGAATGAAAGAAATTCAGACGGAAAGCAAGGAATTAACACCCGATAACACCAGCAGAGAGCACTTGTCAGTTCTAGTCCAGTTTGCCCGTGCAAACACAGCTTCAATGCACGTCGAGAAGGGTCGCGCCTTGAACTTGTGGGTTGTCAGAGCAACTTGCGAACCCAGTGCGAGCCGTTTGCACTAGTTTGCTAAGCGAAGTGTCCGTGCAAGGTGCAAGAGCTCTTCTTCGTTTTCGATGGAGAGTGTGAGGCTGGGGGGCGGCCAGTGTCAAACCGGATACTCTGAGCACCACCACTGTCTTGTCTCTCTTCGCCCTTTCCCTCCCTCGGCTGCTTCGGACCTTTCAACCCCGATGTGTGCGGAAGGATCTGCCTTTGCAGTGGTGTAACCTTTGGCAGAAGAATCCATGCGACTTACCAGATGGTTCATTAAGCGCACCTGAGCTTAGAGTTAAGTTACGTGTTGCTTCCTCAACACTCTCCTTCGTGTTCAAACACAGTTGAGAACTATGCGGTTCGGAATTTTGAATCGTCCCCATTTCATGTCATTGAAGTGCCTGAAAGTCACTCGAGCCACAAGTGAGCCCCAAGCAGTACTACGAGGTTCATGCCCTGTTGCTGAGTGGAAACGACTCACCGTGCAACTACTGCCGAAAGCATTGAAGTGTTCGCATCCAGCCAGGCATTCTACCATCGCAGCGTCTGGAGACAAAGGCCACACGGCGGCCATTCGGATACTGGAGGTGCACATGCTCGGCAACAATCGCCACTCTGCAACCTGTCAACTTATCCATCTGCCTGCACCGGCCTGACAACTGACATACTCGGCGATGCTGTTCCGTGTGAGCCATTTCTGAAGCAGCCTGTGATCGGGCACGGATTGCAGCGCTCACAGCATCACACAACGACCAGGGCACAGACATTGCAGAAGTTTTACCGGGTGACAGATCAGAAGTTCAGAGCATTTTGTTATCATCATACAGCCGTGATTGAGCAGTCAAGTGCATGGTTGTCAGATTGTCAATTCTAGATGCGTGCTCTCCCTGCGAGATGTGCTGAGAAGTCTGGCATGGACACACGGTATATTCGTTGATGGATGGATGGATGGCACCAGGGGCTCGCCCGCGCTTCCATTTCTCAGTTTCTTGCTGGGCGGCATCATGCCGTGTTCAGCAGACAGCCAGCATTCCTGTTGCAGCTTGTCTGAGCACGGCGCTTTCTGCTTCCAGCCTCTTCTGAGCAGCCAAATCCCCAATCGTGGCTGTGTAAGCTGCTTTGCAGCCTGAGCAGTCGCCTCTCTTCAGAACCAAGACGTTCTCAGTTCGCAGCTTCAAGGCTTGCGCCGCGTGCAAGAAGCATGCATCCATGCGCTGGAACTCATGGCCACCCGGGTTTTTGTTGTGGCAGCTCATGTGGACAGTGTTTATAGCTCGAGTGGCGTTGCCGGTGATGGCGGGGCCATGGGAAGTCCAAGAGTCCAAGGCTACAGACATCCCGGCTCTGGAGGAGCCCACTCGACGTTGCCGAGAACAGGGCAGCGATGCTCCGCGCCGCTTGCTGGGCATCTCGGCCAGGTTCAGGATGAGCGAATCTTGATGCGGGGAGCCGGCGTGCTGTCCGAGGTGATTTCTTGATCCAGTTTTCCGGCTCCCTTTCCGAAGATCAGTACAGTCCTCAGTTTTTGAATCCCTTGCTTCTGCTGGCTCTTCAGACTCTGCGCGGTTTTTGACGCAAGCTAAAGCTAGAAGCCTTTCATTAAGGTTGCAGGCGATTGATGAGGTGTATGCAGCAGACGCTTTGAGCAAGCCTCCCCCGCTGAGCGTAGATGCTCTGAAAGGGCTCTGGCTAGCAGCTTCGCCGTGCTGCTGAGATTTGTTTATCTTCTGGAGACAATGCATGCAACTACTCTTATTGATAGTTGCAAGTTGTCACCGTTTCACCAACCAAGGCCAAGTTCTGGTCTGGCGCGGAGACATTACCCAGCTGGCAGCGGACGTAATTGTGAATGCTGCCAACGAGGCTCGCTGTGGCTCGCCGTAGTGGGCTTTCGTTTTCGGCGGACGCAGGAAGGTTTGGGCTGCTTTCAGCCGACGCACCGCTGCTGTCCCCTCAGCTGTCAAAGGGGGAAGGGCGGCAGCCGGCAAGCCGAAGCCTTCCTTCGCGGCTTCGCGTTAGGCATCGACAACGTGCTGCACCGGGCGGCCGGCCCCAGGCTGCGAAGCGAATGCCGTTTGGAGATGCAGAAGCGCCAGAAGAAGCTCCTACCTGGCACGAGACCTATCTAAATTGAGATTGCATTGCAAGTATTTTCGGATTAGGTGAAATTGTATGATTTGGACTTCAGCAGTTTCGACATCTCTGAGATTTACCTCTGCGCTGACCAGATGTTCCGAGAGTTTGGTACACCCAGTGTTTCTTATTGAGTTCTGCAGCCGGTTGGCCGAAGTCCATTGCATGTCAAGCCTGAGGATGCCACTCCTGACGAAAGCCTACCACCTGCCTGCAAAAGCTGTGCTGCACGTTACAGGGCCTCAGATTTCACCCGGATCTTGCCTTAGTTTGCGTCCGTTGACACTGGGCCTCGCCGGGGGCTGAAAGGTCTTGCACCACTGAAGGGTCTCTAAGGCTCTCGTCCTTCCAGTCTGTCAAGCGAAGAGCTTCGGCTGGCCTACACAAACTGTCTGGATGCAGCCCGCGATGCTGGACTTACCAGTGCCGCTCGATTCACCATTTCTTTCATTTCGGGAGTTGTGCACCTCATGCAATGCGTGTAAGGTTGCGTTCTGCTGTATTTCCACTGGCCTCTTTGGGTACCCTGCGCGCGAAGCTGCGGAAGTTGCACTTACAGCTGTGCACAGGTGTTTGCTTTGTGATTGGGTATGATTCGACTAGCTTCTTGCTTCTTTCCGAGTGGTGTGGCAATCTCAACAGATGGGCAGGTGGCTGCAGGCACCCGAAAACTTAGCCTCGCTGTCCTCCGTTGTTTTTGATGCCGCCGGGATTGCAGTTTTCCGTAAGCGTGCAGTGCTGGTAGCGTGCGCATAGTTCCCAATCGGAACCTCGTGAGTGGAGGCATGCCCTGCCCAGGTTTTCACTGAGCACGATGCGTCTTGCCTGCAGCGCCATTTCCTACTGTGCCAGGCACTGTGCCCCTGCCCACCTGACCTTAGGAGCGGATCTATCACGATCTTGGCCCCAAAATCTTTCAGCCGGAGGGCCCTCTCTGAGCGAGAGCAGAGAAAAAGCTCAACAAGGGACGGTCCGACTGCAGTCAGCAGCTCAGAGCAGCGCACTTAGCCGACTGAGATCTGGCTGCAGGGAGTGCGGACAATGGCCCCGATCTCTCAGAGGCCGTGGCGGCACGTTGCACGTCGATTCCTAGACGCTCTGCGTTCTGCGAACCTGTGCAGGTGCAGACGCAGGCTGCAAACATGGCAGGCATGGTTGCGTGTTCATGTCTGTCCTTAACTCGGTCCGGAGCATCTTCGCACTATCGGGCTCCCGATGCCTCACCTGCAAGCCACATTGAGGCAAAGGAGCAGCACTGTGCCTCGATGTGCCACATTTAGACTATTAGACAATAGCTCGAGAGCGGCAGCGTGTTCTCAGCATGGGACAGAGAGAAGCGGCAGGCGTCAAGGTCAAGACGCTTCTGGTTGGCTGGCATGTGATTACGTGATGGGTATAGAATCTAGTGTAGAATAATGGTGATGGTGACTTTCACCATGCCGGCAAGCAGACAATCGGGAAGGGAGATGAAGGTTTGCCTGTGTGTGCACATATATAGCATCGGCAGAAACTCGAAGCTTTGCAGCTCGGGATTCTGTGCACATCTTCCGCTTTGCCATCTGCTACCACTGGGTTTCGGAATGGCTTGTGACGCTGTAACTGTTCGTCACTGGGATCCGTTTCGACTTCCACCTACGCGGACAGAACCCAGGGAGTTGAGATCTGCGTAGTGTCGAGCGATGTCCAGCGTCTGGGCTCCTGTGAGGCTTTCGTGTTGTTTTCGGAATTGCATGTTGACTGCTGTCTTCGTAATCCATGCATGTCTGGAGACACTGACACTAACTGCTTTGCGAGCCAGGTTTTCTCGCCCGGTTGCATGTTCGGTCTGGAGCACATCATGTCACAAAACCAGAGGCGCTCACCAACTGCTGAGTGACAATCTGCGATAGAGTTCGGGAATTACAAACCCGCATCTCCTGAGGCATTCCGTCCGCTGCAGCAAAGCGGGACCATGTTTGCTCTATGTCAGCATCTTACAGTCTTACATGGCGTGTTCTTGGTGTGCCTCTTGCACGAACCGCCTGTCCCTCCGCTACCAGAGCTCATAAATGGTTCCACCATGTTCCACCTCAACACAAAATGTATTGGGGTTCAGTCTAGGCAATGAGGAGTGCTCCGGTATGTAGTTGCTTTGCAGCATACCCACCGCCAACCAGATTGAGGCCCACCTGCCCCAATCCATCCCTCAAGGCTTGCTTAGTCATTGCGACTTCAATGATATTCGAGAGTTCCTCCTTGATTAATGGTGGGGTGTGGCCACCCTGGATTCAGCCAGTGTGCATACGGCCTCCTGTCAGCGACTGCGAACCATGTCAGGCAGAATCCAGGCTGAAATTGCCGCAAGATCCATCCTCGATGGGTTAAGGTTCTTTCCGGATGTCTGGTGTTGCGGCAAAGCGCGAGGTTGTACGAAACGTTCCTTGATGGCCAGCTCTGAAGGAAGTGGGCCCCTGTGTGCATCGCAACAAAAGCGGCCAACCTTCTCGAAGCCAGAACCCTGGAAGGAAAAACACTGCGAACTGACAGAACGCGCTGGCCTGCGGCATGAAAGCTCCGACCCTCGTTCGTCATGATGCGCGACCTCTTCTTACAACGCTCTTGCTGCATGACTTCGCTTTTGGTGGTCGCTTGGTCTTCATATGAGGCTTCAGGCTGGAGAGTGGTGTTCGTAGAGGGGTATGCTCTTTCATGGCATGCCTTTCCCAAAATCATGTACTCCTTTTGCAACAGCTGACAGACTAACTGACTGACTCCCGAGAAGCTGCAAAATGTGGCCAACGCAATCGGGAGCATCATCTGCTCAGTGTGCAAACGGATCCATGGAACGTGGATTGATCACCTGGGTTCGGGTTCCAATTAATACCAATCCCATAGGCAAGATGCCGGCTATCACAATCAAAGCATGCAGGCTGTCGTGTACACCCGAGGTCGCACACCCTTCGTGCGCTACAGTCTTGACATCGCTTAACCGGGCCTTTCAACCGGGGCACAAAAGCCTTCTTCGTCGAAATGCCGAAACATAGTTCGGGGTTAGAGTCGCTGATTCACTGGTTCAGGACGCAGAGTTTAGAGATTTGTGGACACAACCACAAACCTACAACAAGGAATGGCGATTTCGAAAGCGGCTTTTTCCCGAACCCCAGAAGAGGTGGCCAGGATTGAAAGTCCAGGCACGAGGCCCGTAACCTCCGTCCCAACTTTCCGTCAGGCCGCTTTTCTCACATGAACCCCTCTCTCTTCCTCTTGAAGTGGCAAGACCAGAAGTTAGCAATTATTGTAGCGTGTCCTGCTGAAAGCCAAGCCGGGGCTGACACATATTGAAATCAATGCGCTCAAGTTCGTTTTGTGAGGTGCTCCGACAATCGACGTTGACAGAGGTGGGGAAGGTTGCAATTCCAAATCCAACGTGTGCAACGGTCTGTCTAACTTCAGTGTTTCGCCATGACGATTTGGGAGGAGTGTCAGGTTGACTCGCAATGTCGTGCAGTTTTCGTTCCCACAAAGCGGGCGCACACGAAGCGCGGAAGCGAAGAGGGCTTGCGGCTTTCACTGAAAGCGGGACGAATCCACGCCAGGTCCAAGTCTCCAGTCCGGAGATGGTTCGTGCACTTCAGAAAGTTCTTTGGCATCACATTTCTGTGACATGAGACCATAAGAGATGCCATCAGATGCCATGGTGCTTGGCAGATCCTTGGAGTTCTGAGGCCATCGCGAATCTCATGGTGACACAGACGTGCGCCCGCAACAAGCGCCACTGTCCTTGCAAAACTTGTTTCCGCCCAAGCTTTGACGAATGTGCAGGAAGCTCCGAGTGCCCCAGAAGAATTTGGACAGCGGGGGATGCCAACACCACCACAGTCTTCATGTTGCCTCATAGAGACACTGCAGCGACCCATAACTTCATGCAGGGCAGTAGCTGTGTAGGTCATTGCATGCGCATCTGTCTTCTGCGCCGTTCGCCAGGACCTTCGACGCCAAACCGTCCAGATCCGCTGAGAAGCGGGCAAGGGGACAAAGCAACGCTCCGCAAGGCGCTGGGCGGATCCCCTGGCCTCGCGGAGCCACCGTCTCTTGGACCCTCCCAAAGGCCCTTCACTCTCACGCTGCCGCTTGCGCTGACCAAGTTCCTGTCGCGCCAACTCAAGTAAAAGTAATTAACTTGCAACCGCGGAATATTGTGAGAGCATGCGACAGCACGCGACAGTATGACCAGTCTCACGTTGACGGCACAGGATCCTTGTGCGCGAAGTGCCAAGTGTTTCTGCTGCCGCTTGCAAAGATCACGACAGTGGGTCGGCCGTTGAGCTCCGTTATTCCAAAAGAACCCGTGTGTGAGGGGCTTTTCTGCTTCGAGGCTGCTGGCTTCCAACATCACCTTGCATCTTCTCTGATGATCAAGGGGGTTTAAGGTTAAGGGCAATGCAGTCCTTGCCGAAGGCCTGGTGCTCTCGTTTTCAATGCCGTGGCATTTGGCAAAAGCTGCAAATGTGGGAGGCGATACCAAACCGATCATCCGTGGCAGTGCGCAGCAGCTTGGAGAGCATCCTAGTGGACAGTGTTCTTGGTGTGGGGGAAGCAAACGATGAAATCATGTTCAGCGGAAGAACAGTTGAGTAAACTTGTGTGTCGAGATGCAGGTTGTCTTGCTCTCTAGCCGGATGCGCTGCCACATCAGCATCCTGCTTGCCCTTCTTACCTTGCCAGGCGGGCCAGTGCGATCCTGTCTCTCGTGACCAGTCAAGTCACATCCAGTCAGGAGTCTCCAGCTTTGGAGAATCACAGAAATTTCTGATCGTGTCTTCTCCGTTGACGGGTCGCCGATGCCTCAGATGTAAAAGCCAAGCCTGGGCTGACCCCTTTAACAAGTCCTTAATGTGGACACCTGCAACATGAAATGTGGCTGGCACACCCCTACTCCCAGTTGTTTTGCAGATTCAGACTAGGTGGCAGAGACCGGTCCAGTTTTGGTGATTCTTTGGAGCAAGTCAGTCGTTAGGTGAGCTGCTCAGTTGTCCTTGAAGTATCGTGTGGAGTTGTGTTGTGTCTTGCTGCAGCGCTGATAAGAGATTTAATGTGCTTGTCGTTGCAAAATGCACAGTCGAGGCCAGAGGGAAGGGGGAGGAACTTTTAGATAATTTTCGTATGTACATGTCAATGTGACTATCAATGTAGGCATGTATGAAAGTACACATGTGTGACATTTTGTCTTGTGTAATATTTTGGTTATGTTAAGTTACGCTAATCATGTTTGCGTGTTTGCCTGTTTGCCTGTTTGCCTGTTTGCCTGTCTGCCTGTCTGTCTGTCTGTCTGTCTGTCTGTCTGTCTGTCTGTCGTTGTCTGTCTGTCTGTCTGTGTTCGTTCGTTTGTTTGTTCGTTTGTTCGTTTGTTCGTTTGTTGTTTGTTTGTTTGATTGATTGGTGGATTGTGTTGTTTTAAGCTTGCAGCAAGTGCAAGCGGACACAGGCGCCCCTCTGCACACAAGCATGCCAGTACCGCCCATACATATGCAAGGAGCCTCAGCAGCCTCACGCATTACATGCAGCAAATACAGCCCCGATTACTCCCGAGCTGTCGCAGTAGCAGGCTTGTTGTGTTGCGATTGCTTGTTGACAGATGTTGCCTACTTGAAGCTTCCCGTGGACGGGTCACCAGCCACGGCAGATGGACAGGCAAGGCACAGTTCAGTGATGGTATTGAACAGGAAGTCTGCTCAGCACTTGGTATAATTAGACACGACGAAGCTGTAATATATTGCTATACTACTATGTTTCTGGAGCCACTTCCCTGCCGGCAATTATGCCAAGAGGCAATGCGGACACTCATCAAGTCTGGGTGGCCGACCTAGCAGGAGCAATTCGGGTAAGGAATTTCCTGTCCGCAAGTTCAACATGAAGTCCTGCTTAAAACCTCGACTTCGACACTTGAGGTTGGTCTTTCCGCAGGGCCTTGCGGTTGATGACCACAGGTGCTACATCATGTGTCGATTGTCGCTCGCTCACGGTGGATGGACGCCATGAGAGCATGATTCCACAATTAGCAGGCAGCGCCTTTTCGTAGCTGATCCGAACAAGACAGGGCTGGTCGCTGTCTTACTAAGCTTCCAGTTCCTTCTGCTTGAAGGCACAGACAGTTTCTTGTCAAGGTGATGTATCCACTTTCATCGAATGGAGACACGTCCGGCACTTACACAGAGTTGGATCGACTGCATTACTCACCTTGATTACACCACTTCGGAATGTCGTGCAAGGCTGTCAGTCGGAAGTCCGAAGGTGGTGGCATCAGGTGTACAAACTCGCGCAGGCAGCTTACACCAGAGGTCCAGGACCGACTATCGCTTTGTTTTGCAAGCGGAAGACGCATTGAGGCTGTGACGGTGGACGGTCTGGGCAATGTCGTGTTTTCTGACGAGCCAACGAATCGAATTCTCAGAGCCGCGCCCTGAAGTGTTTGTCCCTGCCATCAAGCTTCCGAGTGTGCCTTCTGTCATGCTCCGGGCTCAAGGCTTGCCCCTGTTGAACTGGAGTTTGGTGCTCCAAGTTGTTCATGCCCTTGCATGCCCCATGCTGGTGAAGCTTGCCACTGCGAAGCTTACAATGACGAGGAGGCTTCATGCCGCTCTGGACCCGTCATTTCAAGTCTCGGTCTGACGCTGGGCAGATATTGGGCGTTGTTTATATTTAATCTCCCCAATGCTGCACTGTTATACTTGTATCACCCGCCTGTCCAGTGGCTTGGATTGATCACTTGTAGCTTCGGGTCGTGGATCTCAGCTCTGCCTGTCCGGGCAGGACTCCCGAATGTGGTTGCAGCAAGCAGCACAGCACATGAGCAACGGACTTTGCGATAGGGTCTGGTCTGCGATGTTGAAATCCGCGCAAGCATGAAATCTTGTGCGAATGCGTTTCCCACCTGCGAGCACAGCACTTGCCCTTGTGGAGCCAGATAGCGAGGGCTCGGTGTTAGCATGCTGCGACGCAGATAAGGCAGAGCCAGTGCTTGTAGTGCTGGCCCAACCGAGGGGCTGCAAGAGGAGGGGGAACACACGCTGCAGGGCTCGAGATCCTGCTTTTCATGGAATGCGCGGGGCGGTTGCTGAAATGTTTTCCGTGATGGCGTGTTCCGGCAAGCCGACAGCCCAGCAAGCCAGTGTTCGGTGAAGCGCGACGTGCAAATTTCCATCGCACTACGATTGCAACGGAGCGGTCGCTTCGTCACGAAAGCTAGCTCCTTTGCAGCTTGCGGGAGTTGTGGTTTACAGAGTTGGTTTGGGTCAATTGAGAATTCAGGGGGCCCTAGCTCCTGATACACCAGAGATTTACGGCTACCCACTGCCCCTCCAAGGGGTCAGTACAACAGACAACAAACCGAAGTAAACACCTGTATAATTGAAGACAGCCGCATTGCCTTAGATATTGTTTCACGCTCACCGCAGGCTTCTTTTCCGACTTGTTGTTGACAAGCACAGGCATCACGAAATTGTGGGGGGGAGGGGGGGGTTGAAGGCCCTATTTTTCTCTTTGGCGGGGGGTTGGAGAGGGGGGGGGGGGGGGGGGGGGGGG